GCCACCAGGTACTCCGAGGAAGAAAGATGACTTCCATAAAAATTTATAGCCTTGGAAACCCAATGGGGGTTGTTATGAGCTGGAATTGACTTGATGGCAGTGAGTTTGGTTTTGGTTTTTTGGAGATGATCTCTTACTAGGAAAGATGAAATTCACCAAAAATTAAAAACTAATCTACTTGAGATAAGACAGCGTTAGCATTCTCTCTGCCTGGAGCCTTCACCTTCACTCATACCACTCTTTAGGTTAACTGAAGGTTTCTCAACTTTGGCACTGTTAACACGGTTTGGCTAATTCTTTGGGGGGGGGGGGGTCAGCAGGGGCAGGTTATCCTGTTGACTGTAGTAGGTGTAGTAGCATTCCTGGCTTCTACCAACTAGATGCCTGCAGCACTCCTAATTCAAGCTGTGACAATCAAAACCATTTCTAGACATTATCAACATTCCCTAAGTAGCAAAATCGCCCCCAGTTGAGAACCATTCAGATAATCTATACTAACTTTTCTTATGCCATCTTAAAAATTACTTTTCCGGAGTAGCCACATCCAACACAAACTAGGAGGAACCCAATTTTTTATGTTCTCATATTGCTGCTGTGTGCTAGATCCAAGAACTATGGGAGAAAAATCCCTGTTGATGCTGAGAAAGATACAGACACATACAATTGCACATGCAAAAAGAATTCTCAAAGCATACACAAAAACTATTAACATCAGATGCTGAAAGGTATGGGTCGGAGGCTTTGGAACAGGAAGGTTTTTCATATGCCCTTTTCTACTGTTTTCATTTACCATGTGCTATATTAAGAGCCCTGGTGGTGCAGTGGTTAAGTGCTCAGCTGCTAACCAAAAAGTCAGTAGTTCAAACTCACCAGCCACAAAAAAAGATGTGGCAATCTGCTTCTGAAAAGATTTATGGCCTTGGAAACCCTTTGGGGGTTCTACTCTATAGGGTTGCTGTGAGTCAGAATAGCCTCCATGGCAATTAGTTTTTTTTTTAAAGTTTGGTGGTGCAGTGGTTAAGCACTTAGCTGTTAACTAAGAGGTCGGTAGGTAGTTCAAACCCACCAGATAGCTGCTCCATGGGAGAAAGATGTGGCATAGACAAGATATTCCTACAAGTCATTAAAAAACCAAAACCAAACCAACTGTCAAGTAGATTCAGACTCATGGCAACCCAAGAGGTCTTTAACCACATTATGTACTCTTGGGACATATAAAGAACTACATATACATTTTAATCTGGTATATTACATGCAGTTTTGATTGTTGTACATTAACAAAGAGGTAACAGAATAAAAGCAAAGAGAAAACATAAATGATCACATGGATTTGAGGTGCTGTACGAATAGAAAATGACCAGCAAAAATACTTAGGAAAGTGCATACTGTTTACAAAATCTTAATTCACTAGCCTTAGAATTGGTGTAAGAACAAATGCATCATAAACTCGACTAAACAAATTAATGAACAGAGCCTCTAAGAGAAGGTGGATCACTATCTACTCTGAGGTTGACAATGGGGAGGACACTTTGCCACAGTACATGCCTTAAAGACACTGCTGGCTGAAGGGCTTTTATTCTCTACCAGAATGATCATGAGTGTCATCTATCAAGGAAATTCTTTTATTCCAAATCCCAATTACATAAAAGCTCACTGCATCCAGTGAGCAAAGGGTTGTTATTAGCTGCCTTGGAGTTGGCTCCAATTCACGATGACCTTATACATGTTGTTGCTGGGTCACAGCGACCCCACGTGACATAGAACTGTCCCTCAGGGTTTTCTAGGTTGTAATCTTTATGAGTCAGGTCTGACTCGACGGCACATAACAACAACAACAACAACAACAATCTTTATGAGAGTGGTCTGCCAGGTCTTCCTTTCCCATGGCCGCTGGGTAGGTTTGAACTGCCAACTTTTCAGTTAGCAGCAGAGCACCTATCCAGTGTACCATCAGAGCTCCTTTCACATTATGTGTAACAAAACAATGTAGGCTCCAAAAAAAAAACCCCAACTCACTGCTGTGGAGTCAGATCTGACTCATAGCAACCCCTCCTTGGGTTTCCAAGGCAGTATCACTATGGAGGTAGATTGCCCAACCTTCCTTCCGAGGAGTGGCTGGTGGGTCTGAACCACCAGACTTCTGGTTAGCAGTCAAATGCCTAAGGCACTACGCTACCAGAGCTACCCAATGTAGCCTAGTCCTGTGCCATCTCCAGGGTCTTTGATATGATTGAATCCATTGTTGAGTCTATTGTGAGCCAATCCTCCAAGAGAAACTGACAATACAATTCAGTGATAAAACACAGTTTCTGGGTCACCAGCACACGTGCTGACACTGAATTTTTTCTGAAAACCAAAGCACTATCTCAAGGGGTATTTTTACTTGTTAATGTGGTCAAATAAAATGAAGCAACTACATGCCAAATAAACATATTTAATGTAATATATGATATTTATTCTAACAATAGATATAAGTTTGTCACTAGAATAGTAACATTTAAGCTTGTTACTCCACAGTGTTTAATTTACCAAGTTGTGTTCAATTTACTTGGTGGTGAAGACTCATGCTTCTTACAAGTTTACTATAGCATTCCATTATAACCCTACTAAGAAAAATTTTCCAGATGATGTGGGGGAGTATGAATTTAAAAGTGACTCACATTCAATTTGTGACCACCCCCTTCACCCTAAAAGAATAGGGCAAAAAGATAGAAGAGTGAGACTGTGTGGCTGATGCAAATGCACCAACAAATATTAAAACCATTTTATATTATAATGGTAAAGATAAAAATGACAATAGTTAGCTATGAAGGATGCAATAATACTTTTCAAACTAGAAATTACCATCAGATTTCAATTATCCTGCTAATGAGTCAATTTTAAATGCTTAAGTTTGCCTTCATACACATGACACTGTGCAGGGTAATAAAAATAAGTCTAGTTTAATTAAATGACAGCATTTAAGTAAAATAATGCAAGTGACTTAGGTTTTAATCAATTTAAAGCTGTGAAATTTGGCTTTAAGCAAGCTGTTTATTGTAAAGTATACCAACCAGGCCACCAAAACAAATTATGAAAGAAAATCAAAACCAAACCCACTGCCATCAAGTTGATTCTGACTCATAGTGACACGTTAGGACTGAGTAGAACTGCCCTATAGGGTTTCCAAGGCTGTAAATCTATACTGAAGCAGACTGTCTCATTTTTCTCCAATGGAGCAGATGGTGGGTTCGAACTGCTGACCTTTTGGTTAGCAGCCAAATGCTTTAAGCACTATGCCATTAGAGCACCTTATAATTATGAAGGGGGGGGGGGTTAAAAAAAGAAGTGAAGGCTTGTGGTGAGATCATTTACTGGAAGTAGAAAAGTAAGTCTGATTCAGCAAATAGGACATCTGTAGCCACATGAAGAATTTCCAGAACTATTTTGACTTGTGATTTCTACCAGCATTTTTCCAGGGCAACTTAAGGAAATCCACATTTATACTAATACTCATCAGGTCACTACTACTTTAGGAGAATATTTAATCCTCTCAAACTAAATGTTATTACTAAATGGCTTCCTCTCTCATAACAAGATCATTGACCTAAGGGCTGTGCACAAGAAGTAACTAGGACAATGGAATTTACAGAGCAAGAATCACATAGAATTATAAAAAGAAGAGTAGAAAGAAGACTAAAAGAGACCAAAATGTATATAAAAATAGACACTGTTCAAGATAAACCTATAGGCCAATCTGATAAAGCAAATCAGATTAACCATCATGAGATTAAAACAAGAACCAATCTAAACCATGTATAAAGCTTTTCCATTTCAAAAACTTTCTAAGGACCTTTTTATAAGCTTGTTTTCATGCAAATGAAGTCCTAATTGGAAACAAAACCCACCACCATCGAGTCATACCATACCTAGTCAAAGTGACTCTACAGACAGAGTAGAATTGCCCCACAGAGTTTCCAAGGCTGTAAATATTTACAGAAGCAGACTGCCTCATCTTTCTCCTGTAGAGCAGCTGGTGGGCTCAAACTGCTGACCTTTTGGATGGCAGCTGAATGCCTTAACCACAGCACCACCAAAGTCCTAATGAGTACCCACAGATGTCATAAGTCCTCTATGGTCTATTTTCCCACATATACCTTTCAAAATAACATTCTAAAAACAGCTGTGGTAAAGTATTTAAAAAAGTGAGAATTAAGGCAGGGTTAAATATTTCTAAACAACAGGCAATGTTCTTTGTTAACAGATGCCTCACAGCATGCATGTTAATATGAAGAGAACAAACATCAAACTCATGTCTTTTGTAACCTAAAATAAAAATTAACTAAATACCATTATTCTATTTGTCAAAATATAAAGGTTATGCTTGAAATCAGCACCAGTATTCAAGTGTAAATTTTACTTCAAAACTAATTACATGAGCATGTATCGGACTCAACAAATTTGAAGCAAGACGTGACATTTAAAATCATCAAAAATCTAAGGAGACAACTAATGCTAATGTGTGATACACAGAACATATGACATCTTACCTCTTTCAAAGAGTCATTTCAAAAGAAAGTCACAATTAAAGGAAGCCCAATTTGCAATACTTGAAATGAGTCCAACACAATTAAAATGCATCATAGAAATGACTAGTAAGTAGGCTTGGCAAAATTACACTTTGTACATTACTATTTTAAATTACTCAGATATTAAGTATAAAATTTAAATGAAGCATAATGATACAGTAATACTTTGATGAAAGAAATGTTTCATATTTATCCTTTGACTCAAAAGACCTAACAGTGCCTGGCAGTTTAACTGATCACAAATCAAAAACAAAAAGAAACAAAAAACACCACCCTCACATTTGAAGCAAAATGTTTATCACGGGATCTACTTTTATTGTTAATTTAAAATATTAACTCCATCAGTAAAATTCATGACCAACTTTTTTTCTGAGTATAAATTTACCTTAAAATTTGGTAGTAGTAAAAAACACAGGACAGAAAAGTACTTACATTTCTACTGAACTTGGTGAAAGAATGATGCATATAAAACCTGTGCATATAAACAATCGCAGTGTTTATCGTAAGCTGAGAGCTGGAACGTTAACATTTAGGAAATACTTCGGAAAAGCAAGATTTCATTTCCAAAACAATCAGCGGAAAATTCCTGATCTACAGTCCTTTTCTAATGCCTCCCATTCTTTCAAAACTACGACAAAAACTTACTGAATACACACACACCCGCCGGGTGGGAAGCCAAGAAGAGACTCGATCCTAAATAATAACTGCTGAATATTTCACTTAATACAGCTCTTAAGAGAGTCCAGAAAATATTTTTCAACGGCTACAACTGTCTGAACTCAAAAACACATTAAAAGCGCACGCACACATCCGTACAAAACCACGCCAAGAATATAAAGACCTCCACTGCGCTCCCAGGATACAAGAGAACCGCCATCAAACCGGGGCGGAGCGCCGGGAGAGGCCACGAAGAACAATTAAGTTTTTTAAGCGTCTCTAACCCTTCTACCTCTCAGTCTCTCGGACTGGGAAAAATCGAAACTATCCCTTTTCTGCGACAATCCCTAAAATTATTTCCCCTGGGCGACAGACACTCCCATCCCCCGCCGCCACCACCACCACCACCACCACCACCACTCGCGGCACCAAACAGATTACACAACGAAGCCGCCCCGCCAGCATTCTCGGGCCCCTCTCCCTCCTCCGCTTGGCCCCATGCGGCCTACCGAGCCCTAACCTTCCTTTATTTGGGGCGCGCCGAGGCCCAGCGAAAACCAAGGCGGCGCCATGTTCGCGGAGCACCAGGCCAGGCGACCGGGAGAATAAGTAAGAGGGACAGGGCGTGAGCAATAGAGGGCCAAGAATAGGAAAGGATACACATTAAGACGTTGTCCCATTTCCTGGATGAGGTTGGCCGCCTGCTGCCGGTAAGAGAGCTCTTTATCGGCCTCCACTCCGCAGCGGCGGCTCGGCGTGTTCTCCAGCTGTTCCCGAGTAAAGAACCAGCGAGAAGAAGCTCCACGGCCCGACGCCATGACACTTCCTCCTCTGCCCGCTCCCTTACCCAGCCCCCGCCCCTCCTGGCTCACGGACTCCCTGCCAAGGCCGGGTGACCCCGCCCCACTCCGCTCGCCGTAGATCGCGCACCGCCCCTTTTCACCCCCAACCACCGCCCTTGCGCTTGCGTGGATCCCGCCCCACGGACTCTAGTCTTTTGCTTTCTTTTTCCTTTCCCCGGTCTCGCACTCACTCAGGAGACCACAATGCTTCGCGGCGCTTGTCATTTGGAGGCGCCGAAGGTGGGGTCCCTCTCAGAAGGGAAAGATTGGCGCGGTGCATGCTAGGTGTAGGATTGGTGGACCGAGGGGGCGGGGAGAAAAGGAAGAAAGAAGTTGGATTCTGATTCGGGGAAGTGCTGAGGCGGTTGCCCGGTTGTTGTAGGGTCTGGGACTGGGCATGGACCGTGCTTGGAGTCCAGGGCGTGCCTGGAACGATAGTGTGGCAGCGCTTTGGAAAGAGAAATTTCTCTGCTTGCTTCCTTACGCTACAACCTCCATTTTGTTTTTGGGGTTCATTCTTGCAATCTCGTAGGCTTTTGACTCCACTGCAAACAGCCTTCCTAGAGCCTTAGGGGCGGCTCTAGGAAGGACTGAGCTTGGGAATATGTGTAGGAAATAACTCCCACGTTTGTGATCCTGAGTCCTTTTTTATTTCACGTTTGAAGCTCGCAGGAAAAGGTTATCCAATTAGTAACAGGAGGAATCGATATTGTACTAAGTTTCTATTACACGTTGGGGGTGTGGTTTTAAACCAAGGTATAGGAGCTCTGGTGGCGGAGTACCTAAGGCATTTGGCTGCTAACCAGAAGGCTGGCAGTTCAAACCCACCAGCCACTCCTCGAAAGGCAGATTAGGGAACCTACTTCCGTGGTGATACCGTTTCAGAAACCCAAGGAGGGGTCGCTATGAGTGGGATATGGCACTCTACGGCAGTGGGTTTGGGTTTTTGCTTTTTTAATAAAGTTTGTGCGAAATAAGCCTGGGAGAAGCGGATGGTGCTAGAAGAACCGAGTAAAAATTTTGTCTTCAGTATTTGATACAGTTAACGCCCCCACATAACCTACTGATTAATCCCTTCACCTCTCCGATTAAGAAATACCACAGCACTCCACTCTGGGACTCCCAGAGCCTATTGTGTGTGAATAAAGCTTCAAGTTTTAATTATTTGCCAAAAATCACAAAGTAGAGACAAACATAGTTCAAAAAGACAAGTAACGTTACTTTTAAGATTAAACCTCCAGGCTTTTATTTGTCATTTCCGTTTTGGGGTTCATGTGCTCAAATCCTGGTGTATCTTGGCACTGCTTCCACCAGTTGCACTACAGTATTGATGCATTGATTTGGTTGTAGTAAGCAGTTATTTTTGTTTTTTTGAAGCAGTTACCATAGCCAAAAAAAACTTAGGTGCCATTGAGTCAATTCTGACTCATAGCGATCCCCATTGGGTTTCCAAGGCTGTAAATCTTTAAGGTTAGCAGCCAAAGGCCAAAACCAAACTCACTGCCATCAGGTCAATTCCCACTCATAGCAATCCCGTTTGGGTTTCCATGGCGGTAAATCTTTAGGGAAGTAGATTGCCCAGTCTTCAGCGGAGTGGCTGGTGGGTTTCAACTGCCAGCCTTCTGGCTAGCAGTCAAATGCCTTAGGCATTACCCCACTAGAGCTCCTTACTACACCACCAATGCTCCTAAATGAAGTTGTTGTTATGTGCCCTTGAGTCAGACCTGACTCATAATGACCCCTCCTTGGGTTTTTGAGGCGGTATCACTACGGAAGTAGATTGCCCAGTCTTTGTTCCTAGCAGTGGCTGGTGGGTTTGAACCCCCAGCCTTCTGGTTAGCAGTCAAGTGCCTTAGGCACTATGTTACCAGAGCTCCTCCTAAACAAACAGCTACCTGCCTTGCTTTCCTCACTTAAGGTGCGTAGAAGTTCCAGGATTGATTGATTTAAAGCTAGGTTTACAAGGTCAGTGCCATCACCCACTCATAATAAAAACTCGCAACAAACTAGGAATGGGGGAAACTTGCTTAACTTGATAATGAATGTCTGCAAAACACCCCTACAGTTTAACATCATACTTAATGGCGAGAAACTAGAATTCTCATTACCATCTGGAACAAGGCAAGGATATCCCCTCTCAATGCTCCTTTGTAGAATGTACTAACAGTTTTAGCTGTTGTTGTTATTATTTGCCGTTGAGTAGGCCCTGACTCATAGCGACCCCTCCTTGGGTTTCGGAGGCAGTATCACTATGGAAGTAGGATTGCCCAGCCTTCCTTCCGAGGAGTGGCTGGTGGGTTTGAACCGCCAGCCTTCTGGTTAGCAGTCAAGTGCCTTAGGCACTATGCTACCAGAGCCTCCCACAGTTTTAGCTAGTGGATAAGAAAAGAAAAGGGAATAAAATACAATATAGCGTGGGAAGGCAAAGAATAAAGCAGTTTGCAGATGACAGTTGGTTAGGTAGAAAATTTTCAAAATCTCGACAAAAAAGCTGGAACTAGTAAGTGGTTATAGCAAGGTGTTGGAATGAATACAAGGGCAATATGCAAAAGCCAATTGTTTCCTATATACCAGCAATGAACAATTGGAATTTGAAATTGAAAACACAATACCATATAAAATAGCACTGAAAAAACGTGGTATTTAAGTGTAAGTTTAAAATATGTACAGGATGTACATGTGAAAAACTATAAAACTCTGATGAGAGAAATCAAGGATAATCTAAATACATGTAGAAATATTCTGGGTTCATGAATTGGCAGACTTTTGATCTGATTCATTTGATCCATAGACTGAACATAAGCCCATTTAAAATTCCAGCAAGCTATTTTATAGTATGGAAAACTGATTTTAAAGTTTATGTGAAAAGGTGAAAGACCCAGAATGGCCAGCACAACATTAATGAAGAAAGTTGAACTGACATCACCTGACTTCAGCACTACAGTAATCAAGAGAATGTGGTATTGGCCAACGAGTAGATACATGGATCAATGGACCAAAGTAGTGAGCCCAGAAATAGACCCTCACAAGTGTAGTCAATTGTACTTGACAAAGGAGCAAAGGCAGCTCATGGAGAAAGAATAGTCTTTTCAATAAATGGTGCTAGAACAACTGGATGTCTGTATGCCACAACAACAAAATGAATCTAGATCCAGACCGTACACCTTTCAGAAAAATTAACTCAAAAAGGATCATAGACCTAAATGTAAAATGCAGAATTATACAATTTTAGAGGATAATTTAGGAGAAAATCTAGGTGACCTTGGATTCAATGAGTTTTTAGCTACAGCACTGAAAGCATAATCCATGAAAGAAAAATTTGATAATCTGGACTTTGTTAAAATTAAAAATTTATGGTCTGGGAAAGACACTTTTAAGAGAATGGAAAGGAAGCCATAGACTGGGAAAAAACATTTGCAAAACACATAATTGATAAAGGACTTACATGCATAGTATACAAGGAACTCAACAGAAGGAAACAACTCAAAATATGAGCAAAAGATCTGGACACCTGGTCAAAGAAGATACTTATATGACAACCATCTGTACAACTATGAAAAGAGCTCAACATCCTATGTCATACGGTTTTCTCAGTAGCATTTTGTAATTTCAAAAGACTAGAAACATGAATGTCCATGTGTGATAGTTAAGGTTATATGCCAACTTGGCTGGGCCTGGTTGAGTGGCTGGGCAGCTGGTGGTAGTTATTCCCCATGATGAAACTGTCAATCACCTCCATGGTGGAATCTACCACAAGCAGCTGAATAGCTGCTTTAGGGATGTGGTCTGCTTCCTGTACATAAGGAAAAGCTTTGGGAATGGCCTCTTAACTTTTTGGCACGCTTTAACCCTGCATGTAGCCAAGTCGTTGTTCAGCAGCCTGCCATGCCCTGCTGATCTTGGGACTTTTTCTGGACTTGAATTAGTGGCCTATCATGTTGTTTGATAATCTTGGGATTGTGCCTTTTTACTTGTCAACGTTGGGTTTGTCAGCCACAGCAGCCAGCCACTGCCTAAATGAAGAAAAGCCTCCAGCTTCAATGGGCCAGGAGCAAGAGGCAGAGCTCAAGCTCAAGGTCAATGAGCTTTTACCCAACGCCTGGAGCCTAGCACTTTTAACTTGGACTTCAAGCCTCCAAAATTGTAAGAATAAACTCCTCTGTTTGTTTAAGCCATTCCATTTGTGATATTTTCTGGTAGAGCAGCACAGAGAAACCAAAACACTGAATTCAGGGTTGAATAATTATGGTACATCTGTGCAGTGAAATATTACTTAATATTAGAAGGAAGGAGGCAGTTTATATGTGGAATTGCCAGCATGATATTAAGTAGGAAAAAAAAAAGATGTTTAGGTAAAATGAAAAAAATAAATTACATATAAGTACATTTATACTTTATTATATATATTACAGGTTGTCTTGCAAGAATGCACAAAAACATGAAATTGGTTGTTTTTGGAGGTGGAGACTGGGAGACTTTGGTCTGAATTTGATCTATTTGCCTTTCTGAACATGTATGTATTATTTTTAAAAATAACTTAAATTTCTTAAAATTGTGACTAGTTTTTTTATATTCAGAAGTAGAAATTCATCTTTGTTCAATTTTTTAAAGTAAAATATTTATTATTTTTGATGAAAGTTTACACTGAAATTTAGGTTCCCATTTAACAATTTCTACACAAGTTGTTCAGTGACATTGGTTACATTTCTCACAATGTGTCTACTTCCTCATTATTTCTGTTCTGATTGTTCCGTTTCCAATAATCTAGTTTCCCTACACCATTGTTGTTTTATCTTTTTCCGTAAATGATTACCATTTGGTCTTGTAGATGTTTTGAAAGAAGACAGTACTCGTGGATGATACTGTTTATTATATGAGCCAATTTGAGCCAATTTGTTATTTATCTAAAAAAATGACCTCATGGAATAGTTTTGGTTCAAAGTTTAATGAGTATCTCAGTGTGATAGTCTCAGGGAGTCCTCCAGTCTCAACTG